AGAGATCACTTACNCATTGAGTCTATACTTCCGACAAGAACCATCACCTCATTTTGAACCAAATAATGGTCTTTGCTCCTTAATGTACTCCATATAGTCAGATTGCACTGATCCTAAATCCAATGATCTCGTCCCACCCAGTACGAACTGCTCAGGCAATAAGCTACCCCGGACATAATCAAAAATCTCATATGATGCCACAATGTGCTAATAGGCTACCAATTCGAACGCGATACAAAAGGAAAGCGAACTCTGGAAGGAACTACCTAACTCACGCACTAATACGGACTTTCCTTAGAAAATAGGAAGCAAGGCATACAAAAATATCATATAGAAAACTATACTCAATATCACACTGTTGCGGTGCGCAACCCGATCCAAATAACATACCCATGGCGGCGTGCCACCCGATCCATACATAGATCTCACATAAGGAGATGTACATCGAGCAAAATTTGCTCATTACAATAAAATACCGAATTTCGGTCACACATCAAATAAGAGCGTGATACAACCCGAAACACACCCGAGGCTTCCGGGACCCCGACCAATCACACCAACCAGTCCCAAAACACATTATGGACTTGTTCGAGGCCTCAAATCACATCAACAACTCTAAAATCATGAATCAACCCCCAATCCAAGCTTTATGAACTTTAGAACTTCCAACTTCTACTTTCGATGCTTAAACCTATCAAATCATGTCCGATTGACCTCAAATTTTGCACACAAGTCATATTCGACATTACGGACCTACTCCAACTTTCGGAATTGGAATCCGACCCCGATATCAAAAAGTCAAACTCTCGGTCAAACTTCTCAAAAACCTTCAGATTTCTATCTTTAGCCAAATGACTCCAAAATGACGTACGGACCTCCGAATTCACTTCCGATCGCGATCCCAACTCCAGAATCACCATACGGAGCTGCTCCCAGACTCGTAATCCCAAACGGACATCGATAACACTGAAATGCACTTCAAGCCAAACTTATGAAATTTCTTCCAAAATACTAACTTCCACAATGGGCGCCAAAACACTCCCGGGTCATCCAAAACCCGATCTGGGCATACGCCCAAGTCTGGAATCATCACACGAACCTGTTGGAACCTTCAAATCTCGATTCCGAGGTCGTTTACTTAAAAATCCAATCTTAGTTAATTCTTTCAACTTTAAGATTCTGAAATGAGAATTCTCTTTCCAAATCAACACTGAACTTCCCGAAATTCGATTCTGACCGCGCGTACAAGTCATAAGACCTGAAATGAAGTTGCTCATGGCCTCTGACTGCTGGACGACGTGCTAGAGCTCAAAACAACCGGTCGGGTCGTTACATTCATATAATTAAATGTTTAAACCATCATGTGTCATTATTAACGTGCAACGCACATTCATAGATACTAGTATATATATATATATATATATATATATATATATATATATATATATATATATATATATATATAGAACATACATTTCAATTTATTTCTTTTTATTTAATTTTCTTTAGAAAAAAATATTTTAAACCCTAATTCTATCTTTCGAAGCCTCCAATAGCTTCTTTATGCCTTCCTCGATTTGCGTACGCAGTCCGGGTCTTTTTTCGAAAGATTTTTATGTTAAAAATTGATAAATATAAAATTTTGCCTTAAAAATCTATTTAAGTTGACTTCGGTCAATATTTTGAGCAAACGGACCCGGATCCGTATTTTGACGGTCTCGGTGGGTCCGTATCGTGATTTGAGACTTGGGCGTATGCCTGGAATCGAATTCGGAGGTCCTAGCTCGAGTTATCGCCTTTTGTTGAAATATTGAAGTTTAAAGGTTTAATGACTTTAAAGGTTTGACCAACGTTTGACTTTGTTGATATCGGATCCGTATTTTGGTTCCGAAACTCGGTATAAGTCCATTACTATATTTATGATTTGTGTGCAAAATTTGGTGAAAAACGGAGTTGTTTTGACGTGATTCGGACGTCCGGTTGATAACATAGAAATTCTAAAGTTTCATTAAAAATTTTATTTGATTTGGTGTCCGATTCATAGTTCTAGGTGTTATTTTGGTGATTTGATCGCGCGAGCAAGTTTGTATGATATTTTTGGACTTGTGTGCATATTTGGTTTGGAGCCCCGAGGCTCGGATAAGTTTCGCATAGGCTACGGAGTGAGTTTGAACTTAAATGGAATGCTGGTGCATTAAGTCTGCAGATCTCGCATTTGCGAGGACATGATCGCAAATGCGAGCCTCGCAAATGAAAAGTCAGGCTCGCATTAGCGAAGAAGGAAGGGGCTGGGTTAGCTTCGCTTTTGCGAAGAGAAGTCCGCAAATGCGATGGGGGCAGGGTTCACATTTGCGACTGGAAGCAGACCAAGGCAGACTCGCATTTGCAAGTCAAAAGATCGCTTTTGTGAAGGCCTTGGCTCGCATTTGCAACAAATATATTGCATTTGTGAGATATAAAGGCTCAGAGGTTTTTCGCATTTGCGAATAATTGATCGCAATTGCGAACTTTGTATCGCAATTGCTATCATCGCAATTGCAATATCTACAGTTGGGTAAAAGAAGGGAAAAATGGGATTTTGTTCATTCTTTCAAATTTTCAAAACTAGAAAACCCTAGAGGCAATTTTTTCAAGAGCCCTTCTTCCCCAATTCATTGGTATATGATTCTAACTTATTTTCTTTCAATCTTCATTTATATTTCATAAGATCTAAACCTAAAATGTAGGATTTTCATGGTGAAAATTGGGGGTTTGGGTAGAACTAGAGATTTTTGTAAAATTAGAAATTTAGACCTCAAATTGAGGTCGAATTGCGAAACAAATTACATAATTGGGCTCGGGGGGTGAATGTGCAATCGAATTTTGATCTGAATTTCGGGTTTACACCAAGCGGGCCCGGGAGTTGACTTTTTCAATAATAACCTAAATTGAACATTTTTCATTCGTGGGTAGTTCCTAATGCTTATTTTGAATCGTTTGGTTGATAATTTGCTAGATTTAGTTGGTTCGAAGGCTTGTTTGAAAGGCAAAGCCGTGGTTGAGCTTTGAGTTCATCTTTGGAGTGAGGTAACTGTCGTGGTTAACCTTGACTTGAGGGATTAAGACTTGTTTGTCTATTTGCTACTTGTTTAAATGTTGGGTACAACGTATATGTGAGGTGACGAGTACTTATGCGTTGTTGTTGGGTTAAAGCATGCGGGTGAGGCTTGTTTATTGTAATCTATTGCTTTCTTTGATCATGATATCCAAGCTTAGACTAGTTAATTGCTAAATTGATCGTTCCTTCTGCATTTATGAGCTCTCTGTGGTAATTAAGTATTGTTTCTGAAGTTGAAGTTGGTATTGTGGAACCATTGTTGACATAAGGTTTGTCCTTGTTTATTCTATGTCCCTTTTGTTATATGTTCATTGATATGTGGTAAGGGAGAGCGTTAAAGCACGAAGGGTGATACCGTGCCATAATTGAGAGTCAATGCACGAAGGGTGATGCCGTGCCATATCTATTGTTTCATGATGAAATTGAGAGTAAAAGTACGAAGGGTGTTTCCATGTCGTATTTACATTTTATGGAGAGATTGAGAGTAAAAGCACGAACGGTGATGTTGTGTTATTATTTCTGTTTCATGGTGAGGCTGAGAGTAAAAGCACAAAGGGTGATGTCGTGCAGTTTCATTCATTATGTTTATTCATTTTGTTGGTTGAAGGTTTATTGACTGTCTTTTGTTATCGATTCACTGCTGTAGTTACCGTATCTTGTACCCCTTTCGCAAGTCCCCTACCAATATTACATATTTAGCCTTTATTTGTTGTTATGTTGTATACATATTGTTATCTGCACAAGTTTAATTATGTGGGTGTCTTGTCATAGCCACGTCACTACCTCGTCGAGGTTAGGCTCGACACTTATGGAGTACATGTGGTCGGTTGTACTCATACTATACTCTACACTTCTTGTACAGATCTTGGTACTGGTCCCAACTATCTGTGAAGCGCATCATATCAAATCAGCTGACTTGGAGACTCGAGGTAGAACTGCTGGCGTCTGCAAACCTTGAAATCCCCTTCCATTTTCCCTATTTATTGCTGATCTTTTCATTTGAGACAGTTGTACTTATTTCAAACCCTATTTTGTAGAGACTCTAGAAACTCGTGTACTTGTGACTCTACATCCGAGTTATACTTTGAAATTATTGGTTATTATGCCACTTCGTATTTTGTTTTAGTTCCATTTCGGTTTGATTGGTTTTACTTATTGAATTGATTAAAATTAGCTTAAGGATTCTCTAACGTTGGCTTACCTAACAAGTAAAATATTAGACGCCATCACGGTCCCGAAGGTGGGAATTCCGGATCGTGACATTCGGCTTCATTTCTGTTACATTAATATAGTATCCCAAACACGCTTTCTACTTAAATATTGTAATATTCTTTTGTATACGGTAAAAACCGATCTCAAGAGTTAAGTGTCTTAGAAAGCGACACGTGTCAAGAATGACTCGTCGATGATTCAACCATGGTGACATCTAATACAAACCTGTGATCGAATAAGAAACAGTTCATGATACGACCGTTATAGAAAGACCCTAAAAATCCTCCAAGTTTTATTAGTCTTTTTTAGACTTTATTACCTTTTTTTATTCTTTATCACCTTTTTACATCATTAATATTTGTAATTAAGGTAACTAAGGGAGCGTATAAGACGTAAAGAAATATTGATAGCAAAAGACTAATATTTTTAACTGAAGCTCAAACTTGTCTTTTCTTCAATTATTCTTATTTGTATTTTATTATTTTATTTTAGCAAATCAATTTAATCCACGTATCTATAAACACTTTTCTTATTGGCCTACACTTTACATTTTATTCATTTTTCAGCCGGAGGGAGCTTAAATGAAAAGTGAAAAATATTGTTTGAACGAAGATCCAAAGGCAGTTAATTCATAAAAGATAATAAGTAGATAATTATTACTTCAAAAACAAAAAGTAAACACCAAACTGCATGATTGGAAGGAAAACACACCAAAAGGTATGATTTATTCATTACTAGTACTAGTATTACTCATTTATTATAACAACAGCAAGATAACTAAAGCAAAATTAAAGTTTCTTAGAAGAAGGGACTGCGAGTTCGGATTTCGCATCTTTGAGGGCTAATACGGCATAAACCGGGAAGGCTCTGAGCAGTCCTGAAAATTTCTTGTCTTTCTCTGCCTTGCAATTCTCCTCTCTGTTGTTGCTGCTGCACCACCTGCCTTATTCCTTCACACCTGCATTGCTCATCTTGTATTTGTTCCAGCTGCTCACAGCACCTGTTTGTTAAAAATATGTCAGCAAACAGTAAACTTAAACGTTAAAAATATGCTTTAGTTTATTTTAAATTCATTTGTCTTTCGAGTTAAATCATTCTAGTATATAACTAGGAGTTTGAGAGTTAGATATTTTGCAAAATATATTTAATAAGAGTTCTGAAAAATCATAGCTATAATAAACTTTGTTTGACTGTCCAAATATAATAGTGTCACATAAAAATATTATTAAAAGTAACTTTTAATATTATATTCCGATCCCTTGGTTTCACTTTATGTATGTGAAAGAGACTTTTAAAGGCGTGATAAAAAAAAACTTAAAAATATTTGTATAGCTATAAAACTTCTTATTAAGAATAAAATGAAAAGTTTAAATTAATTCGTTTCTAAATTTCAAAAGTTTTCATTCCTTTTAAAGGAGTAAAACAATTTAGAAATACTTGTATAGCTAAAAAAACTTGTCATTAAGATTAAAACAGAAGTTTAAATTAACTCGTTTCCAAATTTCGAAAGTTGTCATTCTTTTTTAAAAAGAAGAAAAAAAATATTGCCACATAAATTTCAAATTTCGAATGTTGTCATTCTTTTTTGAACTGAACAAGAAAAATATTGCCACATAAATTAAAACATATCCCAGAGTTTATATATATGTAAAGAGCCTAGTTTATATTCCAATATTACCTAGGAAATTCTTGGCGCCAGTCTCTGCCTTGGTTGTCAAATTCCTCTTCCTCCTCAGAGAATCTGGTGCTTTGTCTCAAATACTGCTCGCAGGAACGTAACTGCTGTGCCCTTTGGATTTGCTGCTGGCAACGTTGGGAAATTTGCTCCCTTGGGTTTTCAGCATCTTCAGCTATTGTTATTGTGGTACGAAAGCTAGAAGCTGTGACTGCCATTAAAAGTATGGCTAAAGAAACAACTCCAATAATCATTACTTTAGCCATTGTTGAAGGGATGATTCTTTTTTTATTTTAATGAAGATGTGATGGTGATAATGCTATAGAGAAAGTGTGAATTTATAGGGGAACAAAAGGGGTTGCATGTTAAGTACGTGGCTGAGTCAATACTATAGGTATTGGCAGGTGGGTTGTATATGCTTTGCATGGTGTTATGTTTTGCTTCTTTGCTTCCACGTACCTTTAGTAAAGAAAGAATCTAAATACTCTCTGCAAACAAAAGCAAATTTTGTTTGTTTAGTGACATAGGGAGTAAGTGATTTTGGAATTATGCATGTTGGCTCAGCATTTGAGGCAATGCCTTCGAGTTTCTAAGAATTCTTATAAAGAAAATGGACCGGTGGATAAGGTATTCCATGTTGACGCAGATTTGAAAAATGGTCACATGTACTTTGTCACACCTCCTTTTTATTATTTCGGAAGGGCTATAGGGGAGTTTTTCCAATTTAAGTGACAATCGAAACGGGATTATTATTTAAGATCAGAGTCGCCACTTAGAATAGTTTATGGTGTCCCAAGTCACCGATTTAGAATCCCGAATCGAGAAGATTTGACTCTGTTATGTTTTTAGTTAGACGGGCCACAATTTTATTTAGTCGGCATGGTTGAGTCTATTGAGCTGTTCCTTTCATCTGCACGTTCCCTTGGTTTTAATGTCAGCCCAAGTCCCTAATATGAATCTCTAATTTTCTTGATAACAATTTAATGATTTGTCACTTGCAAGTTTTGATGTCCCTTGGGCCTAATTAAGTGCAATCTCTTTCAGTTACATTGAGGTGTGCCATTTTAATTAAATCACCCATGGCCCTCACAAATATTATATTATTTGTTAAAAATGAACACTCGTAGAAAAGCCTTTAGGCGCGTTTAAAAATACAATTGTGATTGTGTACACGTTCGCGTGACACAATTACAATTCTAAAAACCAATTCGGAGTATGCGTTCGCGCAACTTCGAGCAAACTTTCTTGTAATAATAATTTGTCATTAATATAATTCTCTTTAATTAAATGTAGTTCTTTAGGCCGATGTGTGCCATCCATAATTGAATCATTATGGCCCTCGTGTTAATTTTATAACTTAGACATTAAAATGATATTCGTAGCTTGCTTTAGGCACGTTTAATCCACCATCGTGGTTGTGTACACGTTCGCGTGACATAATTACGGTTCTAAAAATAAAACCGGAGTATGCGTTTGCGCAACTTTGGCCATACTTTCTTAATAATAATAAAGCGTTATTAATTGTGGACACGTTCGCGTGACATGATTTTTGACGCGCCAAACAAATAGGTACACGTACGCGTGACCTATTTTAAGGTAATTTCCTAATAAAAAGGTAAAACGCACATAGGTTCTAAAATCAGTAATTAAACAATTTAATTAAGCCAAGTATGATCAAAGCGACCGTGCTAGAACCACGAAACTCGGGAGTGCCTAACACCTTCTCCCGGGCTAACAGAATTCCTTACCCGTATTTCTGTATTTCGCAGGCATAAACAGAGTCAAATCTCCTCGATTTGGGATTCTAAACCGGTGACTTGGAGCACCATAAACTATCCCAAGTGGCGACTCTGATCTTAAATAATAATCCCGTTTCAATTGTCACTTAAATTGGAAAAACTCCCTTAATATCCCTTCCGGGGATAGTAAAAAGGAGGTGTGACAGCTCTGGCGACTCTGCTGGGGATAGTACCCAGAATCTCTGGTTCAAAATTCAAGAATTCGAGCTTGTAATATGATTTTACTTAGCTTTATTTACTGTTGATATTATTGTATTTTGTGAACCCAATGTGCTAATTGCCCTTTATGTGTCATTTCAATATTGTTTGAATGTTATTAAAATGCTTTCTTACGCCACCCCTCTGAGTATTCTAAAATTTGGCGCACACGTTCGCGTGGGCCCCTTTCTGTTAGAAGTCATACCAGTTAAGAACGAGGCATGGGCCAGCAACAAGGCCGGGCAAACTTTAGTGCTCCCGGTACGTTGCCCCCACCTCGACTCGAGTTGTCCACTCGAGTAAACCCAGTCTAGAACACAACCCTAGTTTAAAACCTAGAAGAACATAACCTCATGCCGGATCCCTAGTAGGAACGTTTGTTTGCATCACATGCATTTGACTTAGGGGACTTAACACAGGGATTGGGTCCGTCTAGGACAGGTGTACCCAAAATAACAGACCATCCTGATGCATCTTACGTGCTATGTGAACATTTATTTATTTCGGCTTGCATGCTGACCGGCTAGGAAAGACAATCAGGGGAAAAACTAAGAGTGGCGTAGAAAGGAAATAAACCCGGTATTTGAAAATATCCCGAAACTCTGCCGAAATGTTTAGGAAAAGGAATTTGAAAAAGAAAACAAAGAAAAAAAAAAGCAAAAAAAAAGAGTCTTTTCAAAATGAGTCACTCAAGTCTTCTTTTAAAATTATGTCATGACTGCCCGAACTACGCAGGTCTGATTCCCACCGGATGTGGGATACGTAGGCAACCTACATAGGGTTCGGCCTCTTTTTGCAAAATTAACCAAATAAAATGAAGTCGTAGGTAGGGATCTGTGTGAAGAATAAGCCGACCCAGCTTCGGCGACGTTCTCACTGAGATAGCCTTAGAATATTTTCAGTTGTCGAAGGGCTATTTTCGTAGAGAACGAGCAAATCTGTCAGTAAGGGGTCATTTTTCTAATTTGTCTCCGCCCCGGCCTCAAAAGTTACTTGAAATTGCGAAGGGGCCACATTTACGAAAGCAGCCACTTTTGTGTAAAAAGGGGAAAGGGTCATTTTCTTTTAGAAGTCGAAAACTGTTTCCTCAAAAGTCTGTCAGAGTCAACCCTAACCCTAACCATTCTCAGGTACCAAGATGAACATTGTCCAGGACCCGAAACTACTAGTCATAGAGCAGGCTCAGTTGCAGTTGCGCATGTGGTGGTATGATTTGGATGGGGATGGTCAAGACTGGGTGAAAGAACAGTTGGGTGCTCTCATTGATCTATTGGAAATCAAACCACAGGAAGATTTGATCAAAGCTTTGGGAACCTTTTGGGATCCTGTGCACAATGTCTTTCGGTTCTCGGATTTTGAGCTCACCCCTACACTGGAAGAAATAGCTGGGTATATCCATTTTGGGCGGGACTTGAGGAAACAACAGTTGATATTCCCGAGAGCCCCATCAGTGCACAAATTCTTTGATCTTCTTAATATCAGCAAACAAATGAAGAAGGCTCATGTGGACAATGGGTGATGTTCCTTTCAATTTTTGTATTCCAGATTTGGGCATTCGGTCGGGTTCGAAACACATGAAAAAGGATTGAACAACAAACAGGACAAGAACCTTTGGCAAATTCATCGTAGGTTCGCCTTCATAGTTGCGTTCCTGGCAATCATAGTCTTCCCAAATGCCGAGGGACAGTAGATACCCGCATGGCTGGAGTTGCACAAACCCTTATTACAAAGAAAGATCACACACTTGCTCCTCTGGTACTGGCAGATATTTACCGGGCATTGACATTGTGTAGATCCGGGGCCCAATTGTTCAAGGGTTGCAGTGTTCTTCTACAAATGTGGTTGATTGAGCATCTCCGCCACCACCCCAGGTTCATGAGCTATGGTTCAAGCAAAGATAATTTCATCAAAAGCTACAAGGAAAGGGTGAAGGATTACAACGCTCCAAAAGGGTTTGAAGCTTGGATCTCCCATTTGAAAGTTCTAAAAGCAAGTCAAGTTGAATGGACTATAGGTTGGCTCCCGATGATAGAAATCATATATATGACAGCCATGAAGGGCTATTTGATGTTGATGGGTTTGCGGAGTGTCCAGCCGTACGCACCACATAGGGTTTTAAGGCAGCTAGGGAGATATCAGATGGTACCTGAAGATGAAGATCTAACCACCCAGGTCATCGAACTCCATCCAGAAGCAGCATTGCCAGAGGCTTTAGTCCAGCAGGATTGGAACAGTTGTCGGTATCTGAAAAATGGCACCCAGGTACGAGATGTTGCTAAAGGGGAAGTGAATCCGAATTATGCAGCGTGGTTTGAAAGAAGGTCAGGTGCAAGCAATGAGCTAGAGCCCGAACCAGAGCCCGAAAGACCAGCAAAAAGACCACATGTGCAAGCATTTGATGACAAAGTCAAAGAAAGATTGGCCTGGGGAGAGAAGGAGAGAAAGTACCAAGATACCATTCACACTCTTGAAGAGAAATTGAGAAACGTTGAGTTCAATAATGATCTACAACTGCAAGAAGCTGAAGGAGAAAGAAGGAAATTGGCCCAGGAAAATGAAGCCTTGCGTGCTCAAATTCAAAGAATGAAAATCGCCGCCGAAAACCCGGCCAGAAGTAGACAAGATGAGAAGCTCATAAGATATTACGAGGCGGACCTGGAAAAGACTGAAAAGGAGTTAGCAAAAGCCCAAGCCAAGTTAGCTAAGAGTGCAGAGGGACGGGCAAGTTTTGTCCGACAGCTGAAAGAGAAGTACGACAGAGGAATGAGGGGGTCTAAAGAAAAGGATCAATGTCCTAGAAAGCAAAGTGACCAAGCAGGCAAGAGATTTCAAAGCAGAAAGGGAACATTGCTATGTGATCGAGGCCAACCCTATACTACTATTAAGTAGCGAGAGAGGTCGAAGCAGCTTTTACCCGATTTAGGGCCGGGATCGATTTCCACTGAGAGCTAGATATTGGAGTTGGGTGTCTATCAAAAGTGGAGTTGTGTATTTGCTCCAAATTGCACTTCTACACATTTTTGGGTTTTAATTATGATTCTAATTCTATGAACTATAATGCTCAATTAAACTACTATAAGCTAGGATTAAACTATTGCAAGTTGTTCAAATGATTAAAGGGCACTAGGGTAGTGACTTTCGCCTAGGTGGTCAATTGACGGATTCTTGAGTCTAAAGCTAGATTGACACATTTTGGGAGTATGATATAACCATTGCTCGATTCTACTCACTCTATACCTCTCGGTAGTTCGAGTGATTTTGCCCGAATTGACTTTCTCAAGACCAATTGGGTATGCGAACTTGCACAAGCAATTGAGGATCAAGTCGGGTAT